AAATCTTTAATAAGTTCACTATAATTAAAAAGAGGTTCACTATAACAAGAGATTTATTATAACAAGAGGTTCACTATAACAAGAAATAATATATTTTTTTAAAAAAAATTGACTGTTTTCTATTTATGGCATGCAATGACTGTTTTCTATTGATGGCATGCAACGATTTTTTTTATTGTGTAGTGCAATTTGCACTGCATAAATTTTTTTTTTTTGCATGTTATACGGCGTGCACATGCATGCAATATTGCCAAATTGCACGACTATTCGTTCGAGTTTGACACTAAGTCAACAGATCGAAAAGGCAATCTAAGCACTGATGCACCACGCATTGACAATCACATGAAAATCCGGATGGTGCATGCAAGTGGGGAAGATGAGTATGAATTTAATGGATTACCAATTTGGGTATTATGGCGCGAATACTAATATGACTAAATTCGTTAGGGCAGAACAAGAACGCACGTGATAAAAAACCTAGGCTGGCTGGCAGCCCAACTGCATCCTTCCCCAGGGAGCTCGCCATATTCGCAAGATGAGCAGGAGAAATACTCGCAATCTGGCAATTACTAGAAATGATAGCACAGTATTCAATGAATCCATTGAAACAGTAGCTATGTCAAGTAGTCAAAATCAAGAGACTCAAAGCCTTGACATGAACATAGACCCACAAACAAAGACATATATAGATGCGGTAATTCAAACAACAACTGCATCTGTAATGCAAACTATGCAACTGTATATGGAATGTCAATTCAAATCTCAGAGGGATTGGAACACAAGGTGCATGAAGACAATCAACCAAAGGTTTGCTCAATTGGAGCAGATGAATCTACAGAACAACAGGAACGATAGCAACCAGAGCAACAGCAACCAGAACAATGACAACCCGAACAATAGCAACCAGAACAACAGCAACCAGAGCAGCAATACTAGTCAGCCCACAATAGAAATTGACCAGCAGAATTCAGCTGAGGTACAAAGAATCACAGGAATTTCACAAGGTAATTACCCTCCATCCCCGGTTATTAATGAATTGATAGCAAGAGTTAGTCTAGAAGGTCAGGAGCACAAAATAATGGATAAGACTAGTGCGATGATATACAAAACAACTGTCAGAAAGTTTCCCACAATAAATTATGAATCAGTAAAATGAATCCCCACTGTTCAAGGTTTCCAGAACCCAGTGGCTGCAGAAGTTGAACGTATCCGGCAATGGTGGGTTTTGAATTGGACAGAAGGACAAAGAATGATAGAAGTGCTCCCTCAAAAACCAAGCTTATCTAACAAATTATGGAAAGCGATAGCATTCAGATCCTTTATAAATTTACAAGAGTTTATACATAAAAATCTAGTTGAGAGTATAAAAGAAATGAATGAGGACACTATACTACAAACATCAGAAGGAGGATCGATAGCTATAAGAAAACGGAAATACAGCACAGTATTTGAAAATATATCAGAATGGCTGCTAGCATTCAAAGCATATATAGATGCAGTGCTTATTTTGTATGATAATAGAGAACATGAATTGAACGCATACAGGGATCGCATAAATGAGCTATGTATCAAATATGAATTTTCAGCAGTAATGGGATATGATGAGGATTGTAGACTGGCTGTGGTAATGAACCGTGATACAACATTATTAGACAGAAACATAGAAGCTGAAGATAAAAACTTTGATGCATCAGCTGCAAGAAAAACAAAAGAAGTGTGGAGGCGTCCAACTCGAATAAGCACATACTGGCAAGATGGTAAAGAAATTTGTCTCAATTGGAATCGTAGAACATGCCCAGAGGATAAAGATTGTTGCAGAATCCATGCATGCATAATATGCAAAAAAATTGGCCATAATGAAAAGAATTGCTTCTGGAAAAAATCCAAGAAAAAAAAATTCTCGCAAGCCTTCAAATGAATAACAAATAAATAAATAAATAAATAAATAAATAAATAAATAAATAAATAAATAAATAAATAAATAAATAAATAAATAAATA